TTCAGCAGTTCCTTTACATTGTCTGCTCTGGAGTTTCACACCAAACTCTCAATCCCAATTCTTTTAACATCACCTGCTTTATGCCAGCAGCATTGACATAGCACCTGGCTGACACTGAAGATGTCACATATCTGTGAGGTAATAGCCCTAAAAAAGTATCTACTGTTCAGCATCGGAACAATATATGTACTACAGGTTTTACAATGAGCTACAATGAAATGAAAATACACATTGTATTTGGCTGGACAGGCTTGCTCGGGAGCTGGTAACATAAGGACAAGGTGATGTGTTTTTTACGGGACTGCTGTCAGTCAGATCACATGAAACCTTCCTCAGAACTCCGCATGCCTTAGGGTCCATGAAAGACAAAACACACACAAAAAACCCACTCTTAGAATTACCGTACAGTTCAGAGTACAGCATTAAAAGACAACATCTATTTTTAAAAAAAATCTAGTACCTTTAGAAAAACTTGGTCAACTATATCACACATGAGAATTTCAGTTTGAGGTGAAGATCTCAATTTTTCCCCCAGAGAAACAGTTTATATAAACAACTCAATAATTAGGATTTCCCATTCTTTCATTTCCGAGTATGTTAATGCCAAAACTAAGGAACATTTAAACTTTACAGTCTGATACTCAAACCAAAGTATGACTGACTTTCCAAAGGAAGAATGGATTGAAAGCAGACAGCAAGTTAATTTGTATAAGCATATGTTCTAAAGATAAGTGTACTGACTAATTGTAATCTTTAGAAAATATTTTCATTAAGGACAGTTTGAGTAAACCTACTAAGCAAAGAACACACCCCAGGCAAGAATTCAAACCCACAGCAAAAAGATGCATTTCTAGTAAAGAATATAACAACTTAAAAAAAAGTTTTCCTAAATACTTAACAGTTTTCTGAATGAATGGAAAGCAGGCTTTTTCAGAGAACTATACTGTGAAGTAATAAGAAAAACTATTACAGTGAAGCAACCTCTTTCATTTGTCTCTTGCTCCTTCTCCTTCCATTCAGAGCCTGTCCTGCTCTAGGACATGACAGAGTAAAGTTTGGGGAGACCTGCTAACCAGCAAGAAGCAAAATGGCACCACTCCTCTAAACGTGGATTTGTATTATGGATTTATAAGCGAGACTATGATGGTCAAGAATTAGGGCCTTAGCAAGTGACAAAACTATTCTCTAGTACTTCTATTCACGTGAATCATCTTCCAGCTAAGATTTCTCATTCCTTCACGTATCTACTTCATCATACACAAGTACCATTTTGTAAGTTCCTTCAGCTCAGTTAATTTATGCATCGCCTTCATTTATTTCAGCAGAGCAGTAAGTATCTTGCATTTTCTATACTGAAAGTAAACGCTTTCCATTTCACCTCAGAAGCATTTTACCTGATCAAGGTAATAAAAGGGGACAAGAATAACAAAAACATTCACCAAAATACATTTGAATGCAAGCAGAGATAAGCCTCCTATCAATGCCAGCAGAGCCTTGAAAACAGAGTGCTGATAACCTGGCTGCTAGGCTTGGCTCAGCAGCTTTTCCCTCTCTGCCGTCCTTTTGTGCAGGCGGAGACAGAGACAAAGCTTCCCAAGTGGAGTACTAGGGTTGATTAATGAAACTACAGTATCACAACCTTTAAAAAGCAAGTATTGAAAAGTTAAATACATCAATACAATCTAATGCAGGATATTTATTACTCCCCCTGCTCCGGTTCTGTCAAGATGTTTAAACAGCAATATTATTGATGATGACTGTCACTATTTGCGTATAATACTACAGAAATGAGCCCTTCTAACAAAGCTGTATTCCCACAGTCATGCTCATGATTTTATGACAAAACACTGTTCCCAAATGGCAGCAGATTTAATATAGCTACAACTTCTCCTGGTAATATTTTTAAGCCAACAATATGAACCCTCAATACAAAAATGTATTACTATTCCCC